AATCACATAAGCACATGCCCGATAATAGATAACAATTAATTGCGTACCTTTGCGCTTCCAGCAGAAATTAAAAACAACATACATGCTAATAAATTTAACCGAATTTAAATCAATTAACATGCTCGCAATTTAAACCAAATAACATGCTCGCAACGATTTAATCGATTACACATAATCACATAAAATCATACAAACACAAGCATGAAATCATAGTTTAAATTAAACCCTAAAACGAAACTAGGGTTTCGAGTATTTACCTCTTGACGCGTGAGGTAGGATTGAACGATTCGTCGTGATTACTACGGAAACCAATCCGTAGAATCGGGGCAGCAATGGAGCAGCAGCAGCGGCGGTGTGGCAGCTCACGGCGGTGCGTGTACAGCACGCGCGGTTGTGCGAGGCGGCGCGTGGGGCAGCGTGCGGCTTCGGCTCGTGCGTTGCTCCTCGATTCTTCGATCTACGGTCTTCCTCCTCTCGGATTTCACCTCGTATACTTCGATCTACTAAATCGTGGCACTAGACACGAAGTAGTTAGAATAAAACGGAAAGAAAATAAAGGAGAAAGAATACCGAACAAGAGCCGGCCGAGGAACGGCCGTTTCCGGCGACGGAGCGGCGGAGGTGGCGCGGTGGTGGCCGCGCGGAAGAGAGGGCGAGAGAGAGAGGGTGGCCGATTAGGGTTAGGGTTTTTGTGTGTGTTTTTGTGTGTGTTTTTGTGTGTGTGTGCTAGGGTTATAAATCATGTATTTATAGTCCCTAGCATGAAACCCTAGCGGGCTTAAGTTGGACTGGGCCCAACAGCTTAAGCTCGTTAGTTTCTTTAATCGCTCGTATCTCTCAATTCAATGATCGAAAAATTGTAACGATTACAATTTCCGAGTCATTATAATTTTCTCGTCATTACGAGTGCCATCTCTTATTTTCCAACTTTCCAAAAGTGGAAACCCTAGTTCAGTGGACTTTCTAAATTTGGAAACTTCCCGATTTAGAAAGTTCACTAACATGTTCGCTTATTCTTTTCCTTTTCTTATTCTCATTCATAATTCCAAATTACGAATGTTGGACTCAATCATATTGACTTCCAATTATGCAAAGATAAACTATTTTATCTCTGACCGTTTATTCAAAGATCTCATGTGCACGAGCAGTGTGACCCTCGATGGTTCAGGTGTAAGCTAGCCGTGGGCCCACAACTCTTTGTGGTCAAAACTCGTCCCCTTCGAGTTACAATTAAGATGAAGCTCGTTTCACCTTAATCACCCAACGAATCAAGATTGGCGTCTAGCAACTACGCGTCATGATTCCCTAGATACAAATGAAGTGCCTGCAAGAACCTTCAGATATAGTTAACGCACAGTACGGTCCCTTCGATTCATATGTCCCGATTGAACTAGAGGCATTGGTTCATCGAGACCTCTTTATATGTTCAATAACGGTGCGATCGTTCTAAGTGTTGTAATCCTTACGTGCATGACTTAAAGAATCGAATTCTCTAATCATCACTTAGTCAGCTCTGGCCAGAGACTTAGAATGATTACAAACTTTCAGAACACACAGGACATCCAAGACTATTCTAGCGATCGAATCCCCGACTACAATGCACAGACCTCCCACTAGATTTCGGACTGCACGAACACTGGCCCTTGGGATGGTCCTCGGTGGAACTCAGGGACAGGTCACGATACAGCTGGTCCTCTAGTGAAGTCACGGTGATGTCTAGGTCATAAGGACTAATGGTGTACAACTATACCATAGATATCTCTACTCGATTATTGGGAACCACTTAGAGATTTCTAGGGTGAGGGAGTTCAGTGAACTCGTCAACTTACGAGCACCCACTTATGCATGCCGATATCACAATACCGTTTACTGATGAGATGCAGTACACATACACTAAGTGCTAGTCTTAATGGGAAAGGCCGATATCCTCATTAGTGGCGTAACCCTTCGACTAGGAACACGTTTAACAGTTATAATACTTAAGTAAATATCTCACGATCCTAACGATCAATTACTAGTACTTGTAATAACTGTAAGGACTATATCTATGCTTGTGACAAAGGGACAAAGATATAGAATGCCAATGTGTTTTATCATTAATACGAATAAAGGTTCGTTTATTACAATAATAAATACGAAAGACCACAGCCACAAGTTGGCTTGTTGGTCACCTACTCTAACACCAAGCCCCTCGACTGTGCTCGGCTGCATATACCCAACTCTCTGTATAGATTGGCCAAACAGGCCGAACCCCACGAATACGTGCCGACCTGATCAAGCACTGAATCCTCGAGCACGTGCATATACCACGGTTTCACCCGATCACATGTCTTGTCGGGGAATAAAATCGAACTCGGTATATCTGAACTCGGCGTCTCATGGGCGTGTCGGGCATCAACAACTGTCCCTGTATCATCCTCCATGTGGGGCCCCCACGCTTCCATGACTCGTCAATCTCATCAAACTCGAGGTTTAATATCTCGGACAGTAAATACACGCAGTTTGTCCGCTCGATGGCATCGTCGTACCTAGGCGCGACCACCCGTCCCTCCACATTGGCACCTAGAATCATCTGGACATCGTGGAGAGTGATAGTCATCTCTCCCCACGGCATATGGAAGTTGTTCGTCTCCGGCTGCCACCGCTCCACGAATGCAAACAAGAATGGAGTATCTAGGCCCTGTAAACAACATCGGGCTAGGGGATACAAACCGGTCATCCCCAGAAAATGCTTGTCTACGGATACATCTACGTCTTCTAGGACAGCTGCTATCTTCTCGTAGTTGAATTGGTTCAGGGAGTTGATACCTCCACTCGTCCAACCGGACGTTCCTGCAATCATTTATTTAGAAAACATATTAATTAATCAACTATAAAAGTATTTTAATAGAAGATACAAAAATTATAATATTAAAATTAAACAAGTAATTAACTTACTTCTCCCCTCCAAATATATGCCGCTACGTGCGACTTGAAACTCGGTATCAAAGACGGATCCCGCGGGCCACCGGGAAACGGACCATCTAGCACATCCGGATTGAATCGAGTATGAGGTCGACCACCACGACCTCCACGGCCCCGTCCTCGGCCTCCACGACCTCCACGACCTCCACGAGCTACAACCTCAGTCTCGTGAAAGGGGTCCACAGCATCCTCCTCTTCTTCCTCCTCCTCCGTAGCACGAGAAGATCCAACATCGGGATGTGGAACTGATGATCTGGCTTCACCAGCTCTCTCAGCCTCTCGCCTACGTCGTGTAGACATAGTCATGCGCTCGTGCTCGCGCTCTTGATGTTCAGCCTCTTCACGAACTGCTCGCATAATTGCACTTGATTTCCCTTTGCCTGCCATCTGTTAAATAAAACACTATTAACATCAGTCTAAATAATAATAATAAATAAAATAAATCTTAAAAAAAAATGAACTGTGCTATTTCACTGTCATTTCGTGGACAAACACACGAAATTAGTGCCTCCATTTCGTGTAAGAACACACGAAATACAACTATATTACTGTTAAACACAGTAAATTAAACTAAACTATTGTTTAACACAGTAATATTGTTATATTAATCTCTAGCACAGTAATATTAACACAACAAAACTCATTATTATTGTGTAATAGAGTATTATTACTATGTTGACCGTTCAACAAATGTAAACATAATAAAAAACCAAAAGAATTAATATTACTGTGAGTGACAGTAATATTACTATATAACAACATAATATTACCGTCAACCACAGTAATATTACAATAATAGACAGTAATATTATTACGTTACTCCATGAATAACACAAACAAACAAAAAATCCAAACAAAATAATAATATTGATGTGGTTGACAGCAATATTACTATAACAACAGTAATATTACCGTCAACCACAGTAATATTATTGTGTTTACAGTAATATTACAATAATAGACAGTAATATTATTACGTTACTCCGTGAATAACTTAAACGAAACAAAAAACCCAAAAAAATTAATAATATTGATGTTGTTGACAGTAATATTATTGTGTTTACAGTTATTTTACTGTCAACGACAGTATTATAATTACGTTGACTTGTCAACAAATCAAACAAAAAAAATAAAATAATAATAATAATAATAATAATAATAATATTACATTAATTTACTGTCAACGACAGCACAATTACATAAATGTATTGTCAACGGCAGTACAATTACGTTAATTTACTTTCATTGACAGTATAATTACGATAATTTATTGTCAGTGACGGCACAATTACGGTCAACGTTTAACGGCGGACGTAAAAAAAAACAAACAAAAAAAAAACTCAAAAAAACACTAAAAAAAAGACAACGTCGGAGACCGGCGAAAAAATCCGGAAGAAAAGAAAAACAAAAAAAATAAAAATTGAAAAGTCAACGCCGGAGACCGGCGGCAATTTTTTTTTTTTTTGAAAAAAAAAATGTTTGTGAAAAAAAAATTGGGTTAACACTGAATAATTTGTGAAATTTGGGGTCAAATTGAGATTAAATTGAGTTAAAGGATGAAATTGGAGCATATTAAAGTATGCTAAAAAAAAGTCAAAATTGAATTTTTGTGGTCAAAATTGGATTTTTGTGGACAAAATTGATTAAATTGGGGTTACAATTAAGAATTGGGTATAAATGATTGAGGGTAATATTGGGATATACATGAATGTTTCCTTTATTTATAATAAATATTAAAGAGAGGGGTTTATTGCTGAAAGAGATATAACCCCTAAGCCTATATATAATAATAAACATGCTTGGTTGGAGACTTTATCATAAAAAACCCCTTAAATTATGTATTCATATAATTAAATTGTCTTTTTTTCTTGATGGGGATGTCATAACTAATATTGTACCTTAAATAAGGTACATCATTTCCTTCGTGTTGGACCATTATATTCTCAATGAACAAGATTATATATACTATAGTACATAAAATAAATGTTGTCTGTTTAAAAAGCTGCCCGAAAGTACACAAGAAATTCAAATTATTCATTATTGTATTTTGACTATAGAAAGTATTTGTTGACCATGTAAATCACAATTTACTTAATAGGCATCCATCGCATTCAATTTTCCCCCAACATCACTTATGTATTTGTCGATGGGGGTCGGTTCGGCAAATATTGCAGGTCAAATACTCGATATTTTTGCAATTACGAAATAGTGAAAATACTATTATTTTCAACTTTTTTATTACTTTTGTTTAGTATGTTACAATTTTTTACGATTATAACGAGTTAAAAGTAAAAAAAAAATATTGAATTTGTAGAATTATAAATAAATATTAAAATAGCTAAATATTAATTAATGACATGCATTATATTTGCAGGTAGATTATCAGGAAATGTTGTCATGTCTGGTAATATTCATCTTAATGGCAAGAAAAAGTGGCTTCATTACGGCGTCGTTGTAAGTTTTATTTATCGGGGCAGTTTTTTTTCTAGGGTTGTTTTTTAAATTAGTAAACAAAATGGGGTTATTTTGAAGCGTGTAAACAAAATAGGGTATGTCGCCACTTGGTCTGGCGACTTCAATTAGTGTCGCCACGCGACTCCAACTATTTCTGCCACGCGGCGTGGCGACTCCTACAGCAGGTGTTTTTTTTTTTTTTTTTTCCTTCGTTTTTTTTTCAAAAAAAATTGTATTGTTAGAAAAAACATAAAAAAAAATTGTATTTATAAGCATGTAAAATTCTCAATCATCTAATTCACTCAATAAAAAAATGTACAACTTTAAAAATACGTAAACAATAAATAAATGGAATTTTACCAAATAAAATAGTAAGACAAAATAAATATTGTCAAAACAATAAAAAAAAGTTTTACAAAATAAAATGTCATAAAAAAAATCACTGCCTATGTCCACCAGTCCCACATGCATGACTTTTTTATGACATTTTATTTTGTAGAACTTTTTTGGAGCTTAACTTGGAATACTCAAATCCCCAAGAGTGGGCTCGACCAGTTATTACTTGGAATTCCTTGTTGAGATCTCTAAAAAAAAACTAAAAGACTGCTATTGGAGTCGCCACGCCGCGTGGCAGAAATAGTTGGAGTCGCCACTCCACGTGGCGGCACTAATTGGAGTCGCCAGACCACGTGGCGACGAACACTACTTCGTTTACAGACTTCAAAACGACCCCAATTTGTTTACTAATTTTAAAAACAACATTGGAAAAAAAACCGCCCCTTATTTATCCCCATTTTTTTATTTTATTTTTATTGTAACGTTGCATAAATGGGAATTATTGAATCTTAAATTAGGTCAAAATTTGACACTATCTATATTCCTGCCACGTGGATTGTGTTAGGTCAGGTCTAAATCGAATTGAAGATGGTTTGGTTTATGTCTCAATAAATTGGTCTTAATTGAATAGTGTAAAAAAAGTATCTTTGCCTATTTGCAGTGTATATATAATTAATGCTGATAAATGGATTAGTTGAATTTTACAATATTAAATACTCCTTTGAATTTTTCCCTCTATCATCTTTACCATTCACACACACGCGCACAGAAACACAAACCCGTGTAGATTATCAGTAAATATCTACCAAATGTACATTTGACCGACGACCACAAAAAATAAATAAATAAATAAATACATTCCGATAGGGTAACACATAAAATTACGAAACAAATTAACGGGACTGACTTTACCACGAACCCATGTAGATTATCGGTAAATATCTACCAAATGTACATTTGACAGGCAGATCACAAAAAACAATAAAAAAAATTCCGATAGGATAACACGTAAAATTACGAAACAAATTAACGGGACCGACTTTACCAGGCGTATGTAACTCAAGAAGATATCTTCTTGGGTACCCTAACGGTACGAGAAACCATCAACTACTCGGCCTTCTTAAGGCTCCCAAGCAGCACATCAAAACACGAGATAAACGAAACAGTAGAAAGCACAATTACCGAAATGGGCCTCGAAGAATGTGCTGACCACCTGATCGGGAACTGGCATTTGAGGGGGATAAGCGGCGGTGAAAAGAAGAGGCTGAGCATTGCGCTGGAGATCATAACACAGCCTCGTCTTTTATTCCTCGACGAGCCGACTAGCGGTCTTGATAGTGCCTCGGCCTTTTTTGTGGTCCAAGCACTTAAGAACGTTTCACGGAGTGGAAGAACGATTATTTCGTCTATTCATCAGCCTAGCAGTGAAGTCTTTTCCCTCTTCGACGATCTTTTGCTTCTGTCGAATGGCGAAACGATTTACTTTGGAGAAGTGGAATCTGCACTAGAGGTATATAATAATTAATAACATCAAATGTACATAATATAATATAATATAGCAAGATAATCTGAATTTAAAGAGTATTTGATGAATTTTTTTTTGCAGTTTTTTGCTGAGGCGGGATTCCCTTGTCCACGTAAGCGGAATCCTTCCGATCATTTTCTACGATGTGTGAATTCGGATTTTGATGATGTGAATAACACTTTGATGGGTTCACAGAGAATGAGAGTGAGTGATTTAACGGATGATTGTAGAACTATTTATATTCAGTTGGTTATATTTATTTTTGGGTTCCTTCTTACAGGATATAAATGATGCTTCTGATCGAAAGATAATCAATTTGACAACAGCAGAAATACGAGCGAGGCTTCTTATGAAATATCGTAACTCAAAACTTGCAGCGAGAGTTAAAGCTAGAATCAAAGAATTCTCAACTACTGTGAGCATTTTTACATACTTTCTTGCACTGTCTACTTCGAGTATTTACGATTCACATCTGTCTTACTACCCACACACACACGCAGACACGGCAAATAAGGGGTGCAAATTTTCAAAAAAACTCGATCTGATAGAGAGAGAGAAAATATTGCAGGACGTACCTGTTTCGAGAAAACCAGAGGAAGCCAGGCGACATGGTTTAAGCAACTTTCCACACTCACAAAGCGATCGTTCACAAACATGTCCCGAGATTTCGGGTATTACTGGCTAAGAATCATAGTGTTCATTACAGTATCCATCTGTGTCGGTTCCGTTTTTCACAACGTAGGATCCAATTATCACGCAATTCTAGCAAGGGGAGCCTGCGGTGGATTTATATCTGGCTTTATGACATTCATGACAATCGGAGGCTTCCCATCATTCATCGAAGAATATAAGAACTGGGTCACTCTTTCGAATATTACGGAGTCGGAGTGTTCATTCTTTCGAATTTCCTCTCTTCGTTTCCGTTCTTGATTGCAATATCGCTTAGTTCAGCATCCATCACTTATTTCATGGTGAAGTTTCACCCTGGAATATTTCATTTCGTATATGCAGAGCTCGACCTTCATGATGGGGGTCATACTCGGAGCTGGTCTAATCGTAAGTCCTCTTTCCTTTTTTTTTTCCTTACTCTCTCTCTCTCTCTCTCTCTCTCTCTCTCTCTCTCT